AGAAAAGAACCAAGCTCAGAGAACCCCAAGGACTCCACAGTTCAACCCTGAGCTACACATATTCACCTCCATTGCTACCAAATATTATTTCTGTCTCTCTTTTAAGAAAGGGAAAATCATGGACATAGGGATGTTGAGATTGGGAGTTTACTCATCACCAAATCATTACAGAGAGATTAAACTCTAGCAAGGCTAACCCCTTTGTAATTATTATGCTTCTCACATGTTATGACACTTCCATTTAAAAATAATAATAAAATAGTTTATTCCTTTTTTCTGTATTCTGGATAAAGCATAGATCTCCTTTAAGTTAATAGATTTGATTATGCCTTCTGTGATGCCTTCTGAATTTTTCATTCTTTAAAAAAATACAAAGGCTCAAAAGCAAATTATCTATAATTGTATGTGATTTTCCTAATCAATGGGATAGGGATGAATAATTAACTCTCATTAAAATAGGGTATCATATTTAATAGTAGCCTCAGTGGAGTACTGACTGCAACACTATATATTTTCAAAAATTACCTTTCCGGAAAAGAACATCCCCAAATTCTCCATGGGTTGTTTTAGAATTTTCTTTCATTGCCTTGAACGTGCTCTTTTCTGCAACATCCTGGAAGTCTTCCTCATTTAAGTCCAGTCCAAGAAATGTTGAAATCTTTTTTGCTCCTAAAGCTGGGTTCTAAAAAGAGATCAAGTTGTACTGCTGGTGAAGAGCGTTCTCATTTATTTATTGTCACATTTCTAACAAAGAAATCTGACCATCTTTGGAAAGGGAATGATGCAATATATTTGCAACAGTTTCATGAATGATATGTCTAAGGCTCCTTCTGGCTTTCTCATTCTTAATGTTATGGCAACATTCTATACTATACCTCCATGCAAAGTATATAAATGAATGTGGCTTTCAGTTATAATCATATAATCTACAGTACATGAATATATGCATATATGTATGAATGCACATACAAACCATTATAATAGGGAGCAAGTGCAAATTTTCCCAGCTCAGTTTAATCTCATTTCATGCTGATGGAGGTTCCTTTATGCTCTGATTGGTTGAAATGGCACTGTTATTTCTATTTCTTCCCCAGAACAAAAAGAAAAGAAAAACTATTGGGGGCAAAAAGTATGAATAAGCAGACACAGAGTGTTTCCATAAATATGTAGACCTTCAAGGCTTTTCCTCAGCTGAAAACGATAGGCCAGTGTTGTCCAAACTTGGCCACTTTAAGATGAGTGGCCACTCATCTTAAAGTGGCCAAGTTTGGGCAACACTGCGACAGGCACTACCTGCTGGAGGATCATGGGTCCTTTAGATTCATTATGAACTCCATGAACCTCTAGTAGGAAATGATGTACCTTGAGGTTATTTATCATCTACTTTTTCTTTATCATTTCGGTAATAGAGTAGGAGACCAATATACGGACTTCAGTTAGTTGTGCTTTTTGACTGTGTCTGTAGAATGCATTTAAGGAAACTCTTGATTATTTTGGCACAGATTTATACTCTGAGTACTTTGGCAGAAATGCTGGGAAAGCCTCATTGATATTTGGAATGGATTTTAGATTAGAACGCTGAATTTG